ACCCAGCAATAACTACTAAGCTTCATACTTTAGAATAGGTGAAAGGCTCTGTATATATATAAATACTGCTTACTTAGAAAGGAGAGGAGATAGTCAGAGCAAGTACCATACAACAAGCATATGCATTTCAAGAACAGGCACACACAATAATACAAGTAAGAGGACTTTCAGAAAGCAGCATTTTCTATAGTTTAAAACAGCCATACTAGTTCCTAGCCATTCCTCTAAACATAGTTCTCTTGATAGACTTATGATACTAAAAAATTTCAGTGGTCATAAAAAGCATAAGTAACATCAACTAAACTGACAGCCTTGTTTTGTACTAAAGGACTCACTGAAACTGCACGGCAACATAGCAACAATTGGCTCGATGCTGATCTAAGCTATGATATGATTCCTTCCATGCAGCTAAAACCTACAGCAGCCTTGAAATTCCTTTAATTTGCACCAGTAGAGATCATGCCTTACGGATTCTTTACCAGGTGAGGATACTGAAAGCCTGCCAAGTGCCAGAAATATTAAAAAGCAATATTCTGAAGCTTCCTTTTTTCTTAGGCAATTTTTAAAGCTTTGAATGGAGCCAATCCTCAGGGTTCCATTCACTGTATAATATCCTTCCCAAGCAATTACTTAGAAATAACCTTTGTTTTTCTTAATCCTAAAAGGAGACCCCAAACAGCAATGGCACACTTATTATACCATAAACAGTGTTTTCACTTTCTTCCCTCAAATCTTATCTGTCTCACATCACCAATATTTTAAACAGAAAGCAACTTGAAGCTATTTGACAAATGCTTAAGACAAACATCCACATAAGGGAAGCCATATGGGAAGGAATGGGCAATTCTACTCAGCACAAACTACACAGCAATAGATTCAGATGTTTCTGCATAAACACTAATGGGCACTGTCAAGTGTACTATTTAGAGCTTGTAATTCTCACACAGATACCTCAGACTAATTCACAAAGTTTCAAATTATTGATACTGTCATTTATACTACACCTTGCACCCTCTTCTTTAATGCTGTCAAACTGCATTGAACTGTACTCTAAACTAGCAGCACATAAGAAACAAATAAACCAAAATTCCTAAAGCATCTAGACCGGAAAAGCAGTGTTTTCCATGGTTCTTAATATTAAATGAAAGTAGTTTATTATCTGAGAGGCTTCATGCTTTCCAACAGTCACCAGACCACTGTTAACACTGCTTGGGAGTCCCATTCTAAGGGCTTCCCTCTGGTGCAACTTTAGTTTCCTCAACAGGATGCACAGTAAAGCTATTAAAAGCAGACACAATAAGTCCAGACATTCCTCTCAGAATCTTGTTAGTCTTACTCACAATGACCACTACATGCAAGAAACATGGAACAAAGATAAACACAATAGACAAATTAGATACTTCTGATATCACTATAGCCTAAATTTTTGAAGAGTTACTCATAAGGTAGATGAAGAACTGTAGGGAATTTTCTCTGCTAAGTTAGTTGCAGTATTTTCACTGAACAAGATCTTTACTGAATAAGCATTTGCAGAATATGTGCAGAGACGAGGCTAAAAATCACTGGTTAAAACGTAGATATTTACAACACAGCAAATACTTAACCAGTACATTATCTCAGTATACACTTAAATGACTTCCTACATCAGCAGAATGAGCCAATGGTGTCTTCCTAGTTTCATTCCTACTTTTAGTTGTTTGACTAATACCAGCTTTTAGATCTCTACCTGCTGAGCATTATCACAACACCTTCTGAATGGGGCAGAGTTAAGTATTTTTCTCCTAACAACTGTAACATTCTGGACTTCTGGAAATTTCTTTTTTAATCCCTACATCCTGGAACATATTTGGCAATGAATACTGTACTGCTCATTAAGTACTGTCTTCTGATATTTGGAGTATTTGGCTCAACTTATTTCATTCAAATCAAAGTGGAGGAGGGATGGTAGTGTCAGCAGGTCAGTCCATTTTCCTGTATCTCAAGTTTAAAAAAAGACCTTCCAAAATGCTTTGGACTAAGAATTCTAGCTCTTAGTAGCCCAAAGAAAGTTTACATAAAGTGGAAGCACATTGGACTTTCCACTTAATACTATGTACAATATATCACGGTTAATACAATAAGTGTTTAAAAACAGCTTGCCAGCAGCCTTAAGGGCTTACTAAATCAAAAACACGCTTATCTGGAATTCAGTGCTTACAACAGTCACCTTCATAAATTACAACCTCTCATTGATGACCATGTAATCTAGCTTAGTTTACTTACAATACCCCCAGCATGTCAAGAGGAAATTAACAGTAGCTGGACTGAACGCTGTTTTGGTCAGGTCCATGCACCCCTATAAATAACAGTACCAAAACAGATTCATAAAGATGCTTTAAAAGAGGCCATCCATGTACTACTGTAAATGACTTGGTGGAAAAATTGTTGAATTATGTCTGTTTCAATAACCGCCATCATTTTTATCTACTCTTCTTTACCTACCTTCAGAGGTTTTCCAGCGTTTCCACAGATCCTCAATGGTGATGTGTTTGTCTTCTCTGTGCAGGTGACTATGTTTATTAGAGGCATCCTTGTATTGCATATCTTCCCTTAGAAACTGAAGAAATGGGAAAACATCATCTTAAATGCCAAAATAGCACTTTCTAAACAGAAACTACAAGGAAATCAGGCAGAGGAGAATCTTTACTATCTATTCCCTGTGCAAGCAACACACAATTCATACAAGTTGACTACATGAAACACTCAGAAAGCAAGTTAAACACTTATAGGATACGATTTTTACAACGATTAAATCCTAGAAAAACTGATGGTGCAGTTGGTAGCATACTAGGTTTAACAACATCATTAGTATGCCTTAGATTTACAGTGTTTACAAGAATGCACCACACAAGTCATACTGCTTAATTCTCTCTTCTGAACACATTTAAACAACTTCACCTACTTGAAGATAAGACCATGTAAGATTTGAAAATGTGCCAGTCCTTTAAGGATGAGTAATACCTGAATCCTGCTATGCCAGTTAAATGCAACTGTTTGAAGGATGAGAAAAAGGTGTTGACTAAGTATTACTAAAGTCTTTTGATTAGACAACAAAAGTCTGACTTCTATTTCATCAAATTAAAAAACAGAAGTCATCCTAGGGCCACTTTTCTTCTTGCTAATCATACCTCGGTGGTCATACTCCAAGTACAGCAGCATTACACAAAGCTACTTCACTTGCAGTAATTAATAGTAAGCCTATGTCTAAAGACCACACTTTTCCTTTTAGGAAACATGATAAAAAGGAAGATTCTGCAATCATGTCATACATTGCAGTGTTGTATCAGTATTCAACAAGTCATTACAAATATAGATACAAGAAAAAAAAAGCATGGAACTGTAAAACCCATTTTATTTTTATTTTACACAGGCCTAGAAAAGTTGGAATACCACTTCCATTAGTAGTGGAAACCCTTCACAGATATCGGCCCCTAAAAGCATGGCATGAGCAGTCTCTGTGGGTGGAGACCTTAGTATTAGTACCAGAAAACTAACATGAGCACCAAGTAATCTTCCACAGTAGACTGTTAGCTTTCTTCAGTTCATGAAGGATAAGCTGCTCAAACAAAAACAACTATAGTTAGTCATGACAGCTAACTCAAATACCAGCTTTTTATGTGGCTGGTCGTTTGTCATCACCACTTCAAGCAGAGGTGAGGAACAAGGCCAAGCTAGCAATGCACTGCCGAAGAGCCCACTTGTAAAAATTCAGTCCTGGTAATAAATTATCTGCAGAGCTTCCTGCACAGACCCCATTTCTAACAAATCTAGAGATTATGTCATTCAAGAAACTGCAGGAGAGACTGAAAAGTAGTCAATGTTAAACCATAATATTAACTCTTAATAAAAAGAGACAGTGTGTTATAGCAGAAATATGCAAGAAAAATCTAACACCAATTTCTCCTTATTAAAAACTTAATTCTTACTAGGAAGTAAGGGAATCTAAAAATATGGGAAGGGATTCAAGCTCCTCCTCTAACTACTAGACTTGGGATAAAGTACTAGTTGCCTTCCTGGGCTGATTGCAGCTGGGAGAGAGTTAATTTTCTTCATAGTAGCCAGTATGGGGCTATGTTTTGGATTTGCACTGGAAACATCATTGATAACACAAGGATGTGTTAGTTACTGCTGAGCAGGGCTTAACAGAGACAAGGCCTTCTCTGCTCCTCACTCCACCAGCGGGGAGGCTGGGGGGACACAAGAAGCTGGGAGAGGACACAGCCCGGACAGCTGACCCCAACTGGCCAAAGGGATATCCCACATCATGTGATGTCACACTCAGTATATAGGTCTGGGGGAAGAAGAAGGAAGGGGGGGATGTTAGCAGTGATGGCGTTTGTCTTCCCAAGTAACCGCTACACGTGATGGAGCCCTGCTTTCCTGGGGATGGCTGGGCACCTGCCTGCCCGAGGGAAGTAGTGAATGAATTCCTTGTTTTGCTTCGCTTGCGTGTGCAGCTTTTGCTTTACCTATTAAACTGGCTTTATCTCAATCTATGAGTTTTCTCAATTTCACTCTTCTGATTCTCCCCCCCATCCCACCAGGGGGGAGTGAGCAAAGGGCTGGGTGGGGCTTGGTTGCCAGCTGGGTTATAGAGCACATTTTTTACATCTTGCCCTGCCCAGACCGGCCCAAGGGCTACAGCATGAACTATCTCTTGCTCAACTTGTTCAAATACTTGTTGCCCAGGGCCCCATTTGAAATGGGGCTGGGGTTAAACCACAACACTTCCCTAATCCAATTATAAACCCATACAGGTCTTTTGGTTCCAAATACAGATTGGATGCAAACCCTCTCTCCTTCATCTACCACTTAAACTTTTTTTGATTGCCAGACATTAGCTTGCTAGAGCCTTCTGATTCCTAAAATAGTTCCACTTAGCCCATACAAATTGCATGAGCATTTTAACTACTCTTCCCTATGTGTATGAGAAAGGCATAAATACAGATACATATTCACATATATGTACATGGGAAATATAGGAAAAATTTATGAAATACGTGAGAACAATTGCAAATAGCAGCCTGTTGGGGCAGAGATAATTATAGAACTGCTGAAACACCATGGACCAGCAACTGTAAAAAGATACAATAAGCACAGAAAAGGACTGATCGCTGTAACTGTATGCAAATGTAAAAATATCTGCTGCATAACCTCTCTTGCATACTCCAACTGAGTACTTCCCAAATTGGCACAACTACCACAAAGCTGGCAATTTCCACAGCTAACATGCAATCAAAGGTAGATTATCTTGTTTGTTCCCACTCCATGTTTATTATAGGGTAAACTGAAGAAAAAGAACCAAAGAGTAAGAAAACAAAAAGTTTTCTTATCCATTAATGTCTTTAAGCCTTTCCAGATTAAAGTACAGTCTCACGTTGGAACAGCAGCAAAGAACTGATGTTTGGCCACCTCATCTTTTCCCTTCAGACTGCTAGTACCTGCTATCAATTACCATCCTCAATGTCTTTTGGGAACTTGTAAAAAACGTACTACAGAGTAAAATGTATTACAGGTCCCTCCCTGTAAAGACTACCTCTCTTCATATGGGGGTTAACTACACATTAACACTCACTCTTCAGCTTTCTAGTGACTGGTGATGCTCTGCCCTTGGAGACTCCAAGTGTCAGGCATGGGCAAACGTAGGCCTATCAAGTTTCCGAAGAGGAACGGAATGGAATATATGCTGTATGTCAAGGTTTCAGCACATTTGCTTCTCCTCAGCTAAAACTCATACCGCAGATCAGTTCTGTTCCTAAGAATTAAACTTGTGTCTATCTTTACCGCTAGTTGTCAGGAAAGGTAAAATACTTTAGGATAAGAACATTTGAACAGTTACAGATGTTAAATCTGAATTGCTGTTAACAATACTACATACAGGGTTAGGAATAAAGAGGAGAAGGAAGATGCCAACTGATAAACAGAAAAGCTTCTGGGTGTTACACCTCACCCCAAAACACTATAAGGTAGTTTAAGAAAGAGTGCCGACTTTAAAAATGGGACAGACATAGGTAACCTGCGCACCCAGATAATCAATGCAAAGAGCAGTTTATGGAAAACCTGCAGCATTTCATGTCGTTCTGCTATGGAGCCCACAGAGGGAGCAAGAGTTAACGTATGAATTCACATTCTCAACACACTGCTGAACACAACAGGCTATGCTGACAAGTTGAGGGGAAAAAATGAAAAGCCTGATTTCATATTTCATCAGAAATACAGAAAACATATCCAAGTTCAACACATAAGATTTCCCGGGAGAAGATGACAACAGTGGAAAAGATCTGTTTTATACCAAGAGATAGAGTAGCTGACCGAGTCCCTTTTTTAAAAGGGACTGTCAACACACAAACTTGTGAGCAGTTTGCATTTAGTAATCGGTACACAGTTACTCCTGGCATGGAGAGATTACACATTTACAGGAATTTCTTCCATTAAAGAAGAGAGAGTCCCTCTTCTGTTCAATGCTACCCATACTGCTTCCCAGACAACTTCCTCAACCAGGTTTTCTAATACCGGATGGTCACAACAGTAAAGTTACAGTGTGCACAGCTAGAAAGAGGCCATCATGTTTCAAAGAATGAATGCATTTACTAATGAAGAGATATATGACATCATTAAACATCTTTCTTCTGTTTAAAATATCTTTGTTTCAAAACTGGCCTAATATGGAAGTTCTCCTTTAAGAAAAGGACCTGCATCCTAAATTAAAGAAGGCCACAAAAACAGAACAACTCTGGTAAAAAGAGCGTATTTTTCTGTTCCTTGTCATGGCAGATAATCTCTCTTCTGTTACCCTGGTCATTAAGTACACAAAGAAAAGGTTAGAAAAATAACTCTAAATAGGGAGGTTAAAAGAATAAGCTCTAACAAAAAACATCTAAGTATTATCTTAGCCAACATAATAAAGGGAGAAGGCCTTTTAAGATTACAAAGTTGAAACCAAGAAAGCAGCAGATAAGTTACTAAAAACTCTGGGTGAAACAAAAAAAAAAAATCATTTGTCAAAGTAGTTACTTCAAAAACAAGTAGAGAGTAAAAACACACCACACCTAGACTCAAAACTGAAGTTTTGAGTATCATAAGTACATGCGTATCATAAGTACATATCAAAAATATAACAACTGTGCCTCTACAAAGATTCACACCCCAAAAGCACATGGGGCAGCAGTGTAATAGGTAGAGAGGAAACTTTCTCCTCCCTGGAGGGGACAGGACTTATGGAGCCCTGGAAAAGAGTTACAAGGTCAGGTACGCCACAACCTTCCTGCCTCTTCAGAAAACCTTTAGTACCACAACATTCACTGAAATCCGGCAACTCATAACCAGAAACTAACCTGAAGCAAGAACCACAAAAAACATCTGACCCTTCCAAAAGAGAAAAAAAAAAGACACACCAAAATCCAGTACTGGTTTGACACAGAAAGAGCACTTACAAACTGAAGCCACGTGAAACAATACAGAAAGTTACAATATGTTAAAATATGAAGTTGCAAGATGCTTGCTCCTTGAGGAGCAAACGAACAATTGCATACTTATTCAAGTGTCAGTGGAAAAGTA